CAGCTGGCAAAGTTTTCAGCCTCTTCAGTAAATTGGATGTCAGAAGCTTCAGGGGTGTGCATCAGCAGAAATTTGACGTTTTCCAGGGACATGAAGAACGTAAGGGTTGTACCTCGTCATCCTGAGACGGAAGCGTAGTATCCGGGGTGGCATCTTGGATAGTGCAGTTGTAGTCAAAAGGGGTACAAGGGGCTTGTGATTTGTTTCTAAAGTGAAGCTGAGTCCGAGCACACATTCTTCAAGGCGTTCATATGCCCAGATTGAGGCAAGAGCTTTTTTCTCGATGACCGCACAGTTCTTTTTAGCATCACTGAGGGGATCTTTAGATGTAGCAGATAGGACGGCGCTGTCCATTTTCTTTAGTCTGAAGGAGAACTGCTCTAAGCCCAGTTGATGAGGTACCTGCTGCAATAAATGTTTGAAGACTAGGGTCATAGCGTGCAAGGACTTCGGTTGACACAAGGATCTCTTTAACCCGCTGAAAGGCTGTTTGCTGAACCTCTCCCCAATACCATTCAGTTTCTTTGCGAAGCAGTTGGCGTAAGGGTTCATTTAGGTCAGCCAATCGTGGAATGAACTTTCCCTGCTGGTTAACCATCCCGAAGAACCTCTGTAGCTCTGTCGCAGTAGACGGGGCTGGGAACTGGGCAATGGCTCTTGTCTTTTCTGGATCAGCATGAACTCCTTGAGCATCAACAATGTGCCTCAGGAATCTCATTCTTCTTTGAGAAAACTCACACTTCTGCACATTCAGTGTCAGGCGAGCTTCTTGGAGACGGAGCAGAACAGCCCGCAAACGTACATCATGTTCAATCTGATTCCTACCATGGATAAGGATGTCTTCCATTCGGCATATTACCCCATCAAACCCCTCCAAGATAGCTCATATGGTCCGTTGGAAGATCTCGGGCGCAGAACTGATGCTAAAGGGTAATCTGTTGAAGCAGAAGATGCGACTTTCTCCCAGCGTGGCAAGGCTCTCATCAACGGAGCCCATGGGATGAATTTCACGTTTGACTACCTTGTTCAGCAGCGTTAAGTCCACACAGATCCGTATTTGTCCGTTGGCTTTGGGTACAGGAACGATATCAAAGCACCAATCTGTAACATCAATGACTGGAGAAATGACGCCTTGCTTTAACATTGAGTCAATTTCATTCTTTACTTTGGGTAGCAACGGATGTGGAATCCTCCTTGGAGTGTGGACAGACACTAGCTCGACTTCTGGATTGAGCTTGATTTGGTATTCGGTTTTCAATTTTCCCAGGCCTGTGAAACGTTGAGGGAATTCTTCCCTGAGATTAATAGCCTGAGTAACCACCTCCCCAATACGACAATCAAACCCAAGTCAACAAAGCTTTCTTATTGAGGAGGGAGTACAGCTGATCCTTGAAAACATAGACTTGTTCGGTTATCTTGCGACCTTAATACTCCAACATGGCGTTAAAAGTACCAATGACTGAGAGAATGGTGCCTCCTGGACCTCTTAAGATCTAAAAAAGCTGACGTTTCAATCGCTCTGACGAAGGGCTAACGCTCGAAACGTCAGCTTTTTTACCCTTTACGGAGGCTAATTTACGTTTTCAACCCAGTTGTTAACACTAAATTACCTGCTATACTCTCCCACCGACGCAGCACCACAGTTTCTTTAGAAAATTACCCCTCTTAAGATCTGTTGGGAATTTGATAACTGCTGGTCTTTAAGCCATAGTTCTCTGTCACTGACAATGGAAACTACCGCTCCCGTATCCAATTGTCGTTTACCTTGACAACTGCAGTCCAGAAGTCTCCTTTACTATTGTAGAATTCACCGAGGAAGGACGTTGACGTCTTCAAAATCTGCTACTTCGTTCACGGTCTTTCGCTTCACCGCCTGCTTTTTTAGAAAGACAAACAGTGTGAAAGGGACTTTGTTTATTCTCGTCTGTGCTGCTGTCGACCACACCACATTCATTTTCGCTCGGACTTTGATCGGGTGTCGCTCGCCTTTGTTGATTTTTTGTCAGGTTTGTGCTTTTCCAATGAAGAATGAAGTCTCTCCTCTGCTCTCTTGCTTCCGACTGACGACTCATGGGTACTGCGTGCTCGAAGGTTAAGTCCGCCTTCGCTTGAAGACGATCTGACAGCGTGTCATCAAGAACTCCCACAACAATGCGATCACGGATGAGGCCGTCTTTCAGAGAATCGTACTCACAGTCTTCTGCCGGTCTGTATAAATCTTGAATGAAGGCATCCACCGACTCATCAAGTAACTGGTGTCGTCTGTTAATACGGGCTCTTTGTACTATCAAATTGCGGCGAACATCGAAATAAGTAGCTTTGTTTTCGTCGATTCGGAGAGTGGCTAGAATGTCGTCTGCACAATCTCCCATGGCATACAGTAAGGTAATAACTTGCTCGTGTTCAGGCTTGCTCTTGAGTCCGGAAGCGACTCTGTAGCGTTCGAAGCGACGGCTCCATTTCATCCAACACTTCGGCTTGTTTTGGTCCGTTCGCGCCATCGAACTTCGCAGAGAGTGGAAGTTGACTCGGCTGTTACGAATTAATTTCGTTTTCTTGTGCTCCAGAGGGCAACCCTGACGTTTGTTGGTGTGATACTGCTGCAGTGTCGGGTATTTTACGGGTCAAGGACCGCTGCCACTATGCATGATTCGAGACTAATTGAACAACAACACCTTATTGAAAATGGCGACCCGTGTAAACACATGGTCCCAGCATGTAACGCGCAAGGTTAACGTGATTGACATTGGTAGAGATCGGCCTAACCTTAAATTTCTCAGCTTTCTCGATCAATCATCCTATATAAAAAGCTTTAAAATGTAGGTTTATTGGGTCAAGTGACCGCCTAGAGCCAGAATTGCGTGACAAGTACAGATGAGAAACGCTTGTCACTGTCGCAGATTTTAAGAGACACCCAAGACAAAATAACGACAGTGCCCAGGGACTCTCTTCATGGTTTTCAGAGATGAAATGAAGGATTATAAAGGGGAACTAAAATTAGTGTTGTAGCTTTCTGGCAAGGGGAGATATTTGACCTCAAAGTTGTCAAATATTTGGATGAATCAAAACGTCTGAAAACACAGTCATTTGTTTGCCTCTGTTGATTGATAGGCCTTTAATCCAATTGACTGATACTTGCGTTGGACATTAACTAAGGATGTAATAATATGTATGCAAATCCTCAGAGTAATTGGTTAAATACCATTGCAGTGAGAGCTTCATACATTTTACCTATTTTGAAGCGATTTCCTTGGTGAAAACCAAGAACTACCGGGGGAGAAGTCTATCTCCCCCCGGAAAAAACCAAAACAGAAACCAGTTTTTTCTTTTTGAGTTTTGGGGTAGACCCTTTAAACTGGCAAAGTTTCATTGCAATCGGTGAGATGGCATGTTGCACGATTGCCTGATGTCAGGAATGAACACCCACCAAAACACTGACCAAAACCATCAACAATATATTTTTTTTTATTTTTATCTATGACCACTGTTAGATCTGCAGGGAGACAAAAGATTTATGTTCCACAAAACATTAGCAGTTAGTGCTCTGGCTAATTATTTTTTTATAGTGCACAATTTCTGACCGACCAAACGTTCATAATGAAATCATAACTCATAACACATAAAATCATAACTCATAACACATAAAATAAAGGGGTTTTGGTGGATGTTTCTCTCCATCCACCAAAACCACCATGGCAATTTCTGCTACTTCCCTTACAGAAGACTGATGTGACCTGCTATTCGGAATACATAACCACAAACTATTTCTTTGTATGTAGAGGTATTTTGCAAAGTTCTTAAGTCAGCACCTTTTATCATTGAAACCATAATCATAACATGGTGTTCAATAGAGAATACAAAAGGTTCTGGCGTGGCAATCATGTACTCTTGAAACAGGAGAGTTTTTAACTGACCTAAACTGACTCAAACAGATATTTGCAACAAAATTCCAGATCCAGAAATTCTTTCCACTATTTCTACTAAAATCATATTCTTTATGTACTACAAATCAGCACATCAGTAATTGCTATCAGGGGTCTGAAAATCTTATAAATCTTTCACATTTCAAGTAACCTTTAATTTCACATGGATGAATAAGTAAACACTCAAGACGCAGAATGTCTTAAATATTACAAATTATTTCCCCTTTTATGGATAGACAGTGAAAGGCCTTTGCCAGATTAGTGAATCAAACCATTGTATACCATGTATTTTGTGACAGTTGTTACTAAATGTTTGTTTGTTTGTTTGTTTGTTTGTTTGTTTTTGCTCACAATATTCAAAACAATGGGATAATGGGATAAATTTAAATGGCAAATTCTATTAATGGTTAAAATTAAATAACATTTGAAGATCAAATTAACTTTGTACTGTTTAAAATACAGTTTTAGTTTCTCGCTTATTCCAGCCTCTTAATATTCAAAAGCAATCCATATCATTTTTGTGTTCTTTTGTGTAACATAACTTGAAAAATGAACAGAGAGAAAGGAAACCACAAAAGATTAAACTTGAAGCTAAAGTAAAGTTTAATTTGAGCCATAGCTGATCCAAATACAGAGCACTTTATATTGTAACCCATTTAGCAGTAAAGTTCATCTGTATGTCTGCCAGCTTGTCACAAGTCTTACCCCTCTCCTCCAAAAGTCTCTATAGATAAATTTTTCTATGTGGTCCCTAATTGATGATAGGTATATTACAGCTCCTCAATTTCCCTCTCTCAAGACAAGGTAACTCCAAATTTAACAAAGTAATGGACTTGATAAAACTCAAACTATAATTCAGCTGGCTGCTACTCGCAACCTTAATTTCTTGATATCAGTATACAATAATTAATTTGTTATAAATAAGAACCCTAATGCTTAATTTTACAGTGATCACCTTCCTCCTTTTCATTTGTAGACCAGACTGGAACCTCCATAGGTGTGCTTGCTTGTTTTAAGTGGGTGTGGAAGAAAAGGAATCGTGCTGCATCGTATCTGATTTATTAAACCGGATTTGTTCTATTTATACATGAGTAGAACTACCTTGTTCTCTGAAAAAAATAAAATTTCTCGCATTTTTATCTGTGCTTTGCAGTCAAACTTCCTTGTGTCTTGAACAAGAAATCTTCTTTTCTTGAAAAAAAAATCTTTGTTTCCAGCCTTCTGTAATAGGTAAATATAACAACCTAAGATGAGTGATACTGTATTTCTCAAATTATTTTTTGGAATGTGACAAAACGGAAGTGTCATAGCGTGATAAGGAGCCAACATATGATTGCTTGATAGAAAGCAAAAAACGCAGAATTACGTATATTTTCTCTTTTGTAAGCACCATACACTAGTGAAAAGTTCTTATAATTGTTAACTTCTAAACTATTTAGCCGAGATGAATTGTTATCACGTTTGTCCTAAAAGTATTCTGAGATCAATGTCGTATAACCCATTCATGTGTGCATTTGACATTTCGGATTAGCAAGCTATAGGTGACAGTAGTAACACAAAGGTCGCGGATAAAAGAAAATATTATGTACAGTACTTCTTTTGCATCTTTTCGTTTCCTTTTCTCTCCAGCTGTTCTATCTACGCCGTGCTGGCAATTGAAAACTTTCTTTCCCAAAATTAGGAAAGGCACACCAGTAAAAAACGAATTTTTGCTCCTTAAATATCTCGTGCACCTTCCCAGAGTATATTGTGACTTCTATCCGAGGAAGGAGGTGTAAGCATTAATTTAACCCGAATGATTCCACAATTGTGGTATAATCTAAGCCATGCCAGAGGACTCGAACCAGATAAACTAGTGAGAATGCTCAATAGCGAGACATGACTTCTCCTTCTTGATAGAGTGCTCAATTTGGAAATGAAAGCAAAGCTTTGTATTGCCAAAGAGCTGTATATATATATATATATATATATATATATATATATATATATACATACCAGTGTTTCTGAAACCTTTGTCAGATTTAAAGCAAGAAAACTTCGTCGTCAATCTTGTTTCAAACTCCGCAATAAGTCTATACGTCTCATCAACAGAATTAACGTATCCTAAATCATCCGCATGTCTACCATCAAGCAACGGTTCGCGCCCTAAAATTCCCGCCATGCTGTTTCTGTTTGTTCCTCAAGAATCATGGGATTTACAGCTTCGGATGTTCGGCTACAACACTCACGGATTTCCGAGAATCTTCGGTTATGTTTTGCTAGTCATTTTAAAAATATTCCATCTCACTCCCTCTCGACCGAGGTGGTTTGTGGTTGATGGAATTCAATGCTGACCATATAGCGCGAGCTTTAAAAATGTCAACAAGCAAAACAAACATGGCGGCTCGATAAGTCTATTTTCACTCACTAAAATTTCCATAACAACATAAGTATCTCTTCACGACCCTTTCAAATACTTGAAAAATTAAGAGAAACCGATTACGAAAATAATACTTTCAACGTATGAACCCAATGTTTGGAAACGTTGAGGGAGCTAGACAGATGCATGATTGATCGTTCAATAGGGAATGATTGATCATAATGAAAATGATGACTCTAAGAATTTTTCTATGCTATGTAAAGATCTGTTAAATTGAAGTTCATTTTCCATCTTAGTCTTAATTTCAAACCTAGGTAACCCTTGATTTTGTGCCAGCAGTAAGAAGAAAACTTTCTTGAGTTTCAAAGTCCCTCGTTGAAACGACCTGAATTGAGGCGTACCGGAAACTACTCACAACATCACTAACGTGTCACGAAAGTTTGCTATTTATGATAAGTACTAGAAAACAACTGTCTGTTCACTCGAAGTAGTCTTAATTTGTACACCACGCACTCGAAATTATTAACAATAATATTGAACGCTTATGGCAGGCCAGGAAAGGAAATATGAGGTATTAAACGACAAGGATTAAGCTTTAAGAGGACGTATATTATGATTTGTAACTATAAATACCAGATCTTTTTATAGGTCTTTAGATAGCCGTGACAGCTGTCTGGAGATTTGCATTGCATTTTTGTCAAATAGCGTGAACTCCTGTCAATCTGGACACGCTACTTAGAACTTATGACTCATTTTGTTCTTCCAAAAGGATACTTTACATTACCTTTTTCAAAAATAACGTCAAAAAGTTCTAATTGTGAGAATTAAACTAAAAGGGTCAAGCTTCAACATGATGCATATCATAACTTGTAATTATATACGGCAGACCTCTTTACGGGCCTGTGAAGTTGACCTTTATTTTACCTCTGCGAAAAACACGCAAAGTACATAATTTCAATGGATCACTATGCAGACTCAAACATAACAACAAAACAAGAAATTTATATTTCCAAAAAGATAAAGGACTATCCACAAGCGCACAAAATTTAAAAGCAGGATTGCGTTGCGTTGTGACTTACGAGGTTGCCAAAGTTGCATAATTTTCATTGTTTTGCCGGGGGACAACGACCATCTAGGCGTATTTTGAACTTTTCGATTTTTTTGGAGAAAGCAAAGCGCGGTAAAACTTTTTTAGGCTCAGGCCCCACTTTGGGAAATAAATATAAGGTGCACCATCATTAGGCTGATTGAGACATAAAAAGACAGCAAGAGACTGAAATAAATGAGTCGTACGACTGTTGACGGCACGAATTACGTAACCAGTCGCGAAAGTTGTCGCAGAGACAGTTGTGAGTCACGCGACCCTTTCAACACTGGAGGTAATCCGCTCCTCATACCAAAAACCTTCAATTCAGTGACCTTGTTGTGAAATTTTTCACTGCATGGTGGTGGGCGCTCTAAAATAAGTTTAATTTCGCGCAGTATAATTAAACTAGTAATCTGGCACCCCATAAGGAAATTGCATCATTACTCAAACTTATTTTCATCATTTCATGCCGAGCTATTGTTGATTTTCAAGTGAGAAGTATGTATATCATTGTTCAATCCTTTGCACTACTGGACTGATTGAGAAAACAGCATTCGACCTGACGTTCAGTCGCTGAACCATAACGTAAATGAAAAAGTTTGCTTTCTTTCCGATGTCAGTCTTAGTTTGCGCTAAAATACAACAACGGTGAAAACGCAAAAACGTAGAGCCACATGTTTGTTTGGCTATTTAATGAAGATCATGATTATTTCAGATATTGATGGGAAAAACGTCATGTCACCTTGTCAGTGAATCAGATGTAAACACAAAACAATTGTGATTTATTCTTGAGAGACAACCTGCCATCGACAATGTGGCCAAGTATTCACTTAAATTGTTACAGACTCGATCCAATTATCACTATAGGGTTTTTGCTCCATATAAAGGTTAGCTTCCTATTAATAAATAGAAATTGTTAACAACACTTTGAGGGTTGAGAAGTCACAACAATCAGACAAGTCACAGAAAACAGATAACAAATAAATAAAAATCACCTGCGACCTGCTTTCGTTTTTACAAAAACAAACATTGAATTGATTTTTATGGTCTTGATATAAAGTTGGGACAATCTGGAAGCATCGCAACCAGCCGACTTCTGGCAAATATAAGGCGAAAACGGTATGAAAGAACTTGTTCCAAAGCAATAAGTAAAGTATCAGCAGAGCTAAAATATGCTGGCCAAACTCCGTCCTACTTTGATGTCGCCGTTATTTTTTTGGCGCCTCTCCTCTCGCGCGTAACTCGCACTTCGCGGCGCCTTGCGCTTGCCTACGTTCGACTGAAAAACACAAGAAAATTACGCCTGTTCTGCAAGCTTGTGGTGTAAGACGTACGTGTACTCCTAAATATAAATCATTAAACACGATAATTTATCCCCTGTGATTTACCTTGCACAACCTATTACTTGCAACTGAATTTATCTCCCACCTCTGCAATTTTTCTGTTGTTTCAATATTCTTGAATTTCCGGGAGAATTCAGCTTTATACCTGCACTAAATGTTTCATGTGAGTTGAACACGCTCTACGTTAGTGACAGTTTTAGAGAATGCAAAACAAAACAATACACACCGAACTATCAATTGCTTTGTTCCTTCAAACATACGTGCGTTTTAGGGTTATTAGCATAGAATTAGTATTGTAAAGTTAATCCGTGACCAGTAGATCGAACATTTCGCAATCTTGAAATCTTGCCACCCAACGTCCCAAGGTTACTATTAATAACGACCGAACCAGTGAATTTAAAACTGAATTTGCTTGTTAGATATCCAGGAAGGATTTATATACTTTGATCGAAGATATTCCGCTATTTTCCTTGAGTTTAACTACTAGCCTTTACTTTTAGCGTAGATGGTGAACTCTTACGCTTGAAAGATTACCAAGTATCTGTTACATAGACGGATGCGCCCAATTTAGCAACAACAAAGGTGCTATTCATAGACCTGTCAAAAGCCGACCCACTGTTAAGGCTAAATTAGTCAAGCAAGCACTGATTACATCACATCAGCCGCAAAAATGTAGCAATTACGTAACCTGTAATGAAAGTACAAGTCTATTTCAACTTTGATAACCTTGCATCCCTTCAAAGTCCTTTTAGACACTTTATCGCTCACATCATTCATCAATATTCATAGCAGCAGACATGACCGAAAACGTTTGGAATGAAACCGAGCACTCATCCACGAACCGCCACATCGTGACAGTCAAATCAAGGGAACTTTCGGACTATCAGTTGTGTGACCAATTTATGCAACTCTAAGAAACAGATGAACAAAGAGTATGAATAAGGACTCTTCATGCTCTAAATTTAATGTAATCATGCTCTAAATTCAAGGGAACTTTCGGCAAAAATGTAGCAATAACGTAACCTGTCATGAAAGTACAAGTCTATTCAACTTTGTTAACCTTACATCTCTTCAAAGTCCCTTTGGAGACTTTATCGCTCACATCATTCATCAATATTCATAGCAGCAGACATGAAATACATTAATTACTAGGAATTTAGGAAAATACACGTTCGGAAAACGTAAATCGCTAAAGGTGTTTTGACAGTGCAAACTGATTATCGATCGCACAATTAAGAATGTTTGGATATGACCTCTTTTGGGTTTTTTATGCCAAGTTACGTTCCCTTACACTGTGGTTAATTTTCCCCTTCAGTACACCACTAAATTGGTTTCTCTTCTCGCTGGATCTCCTTGGGAAACAGTTCAATACTAGAATGTCTCTTAAACAGCAATCCGACAAATCCAACAACGGTCAATTCGAGTATATTAATGTTGAGACAGTGCTTCGTAATTAGTCAAAAAATTTAGATATAATAATCGCACTGAAAAGGTCTATTAAAGCAGCAAATAATACCGTCAACAGCATGATTTGATGCACTTAATTTTTTAATAATTTAAATCGCAAATCACGTTTCTTAGCTCACACGGAAAAGATTTCTGCTATGTTACAATTTTGAACTTAATACAAGTCGTAAATATACTGCCATAAACAGGTATAAACAAACTGTACAATTTATGGTCAAAGGTGCAGACCTAAAATTTGCTGAAATTCTCAAATTACGTTTCCAAGCTTGCATGGAAAGGATTTCTTTTATGTTACAATTTTTAAGTCACAATAAGCGTTCAAAATGCCGTTATGAAACAGGTATAGACAAAATGTACAGTTTATGGTCAGAGTTGTAGACCACATATCTACTACAAATCTCAATTTACGTTGCCTAGTTTAAATAAAAAGGACTTCTGCCATATAACCGATTTGGAGTTAATAACAGGCGTTAAAGATGCTGCCACAAAAAAGGGTATTATAAACAAACTGTACAATTTATGGTCAGATGCGTACACCACATATTGGCAACAAAGTGGTGGTGGCATTCGCCAGCAATAACAACTAAATCACTTTTACACCATCGTTCTGATCCAAAGAAGTTCTATTATACAATATTAACAAACAAGGCAGTATAAAATATATAATCAAAAATTTCAAACACCAGAATTGTTGTCAAAAATATTATCTGAAATTGGTCGTTAAACGGATAGCGAGGCTTTCCACGAATATCCATCTAACTCATGTTCCTCTAAGTCTCCGTGACTGAGCTGTCGTCTCATTTTCCTTTTATATGGCGATTTGATTGCTAATGGCTTTTGGCAAACCCTCTGCATAATGTGAGCTTTTATGGTCGACTTCTTGCGACGTTCGAAGAAGCAATATCCACAAGCCCACCAGAATTCGCCTTCAGAACTTTTGAGTCTTCTTCCTTTTCCATGTGGTTGGACAGGTGTTGGCTGCTTTCTCACCAATTTCAACAAACCAAGAGTGTCAAGCTCCTCTACAACGTAGTCAATCTTTGGATTATGACTATAATACGCGCTGACCTGAAATGAAATGAACTTAGCCATTTAGTGGATATATGTCGAAACATATTGAGGTATTTTTTTCGGATCGCATGGCTGGAATTGCTATCAATTGTCATAAAACTGTAAAGGTACTTCAAAATAGTTTAGTTCCTTGTTGAAACGTGGCTTCCACAGTTTTTAAATTTTTTTTTCTTTGACATTGTTAAAAAAGATGCTTAATTATTTCTAAAAAGGATGTGATAATTACAATAAAAGCTTTCCTAGCGACACGACAGTTCTGTAACTCAAAAACCAGTCCTGTAACCCCCATTCTGCATCACCGAATTGCAATCAGCATGTCAAGAAATGTCTTTCTGGAATGTTTCATATCAAAAAAAGGACAAAAATCTCCATATTCTTCAGTTTCACAGTTGATAACACAGTATTGAAGCGAAGTGTGGAGAACATGGAAACAATACTAAAATAAAAAATAATGCCCTACTTTTATATTCTAGATTTTTAATCCAAACAATTTTGGTAATAGGCTAAGAAATTTAGAGATTATTCATGCCTATATGATCAATAGAATTAAAAAACTTTTATAGAAAAGTAAGAGCTCTAACCTATACTTTTAAAGATACCTGCATGTAGGAACCAAACTTAGAGATAATGGTATCCTTGATGTATACCACTATGAATACCACCATATTACTTCTATACATTTCTACTCAGTCACATTTTCAGCGACCTGAACTGCAGGGTTTGCAGATTATGCTTCAAATATCGCCTGCTACAAGGCCTCAATTACAGTTTTCATATAGGTTTTGACTCCTGAGGTATAATTTTACATTTAGGATACCATGTCAAGTAAAACCATAACAAAGGTGAGGCAGTTTAAACTTACCGCACGCGTATCTAAGGCTGTGTTAGTTCGGAGCAAGATCTTCGCTGCAGTAATACGTCTGGATGTATGGTTAGAATCCTGAGACATAAAACTCTCAGCAAACGTGTGCTGTGCTGTAAAAACATCATCTTCCTCTAGAGTAAATTGCACAAAATCTCGATTCAAGGCGTCGCGATCCAGATATTCTAAGTGAAAATACATAAAATTATTTACTATTTAATCGGCTTCTAAAAAGCCATGACTGCCCCAGTTACAGGATTTTTAACTCCTTGTCTTTTCCCTGACAAAAGTAGCATTTCCCCGACAAACTGAATTAACGATTTCGCAAATTAGTCCTGATAACTGATGGCATTCAACCCCTACTCACTGACATCCTCTCCACCCATAGCTTTGTGCTTTCAGCAAGTCACATACAGTGTACCTAAACTGGTGGCTCTTTAAGGTAATTTTGTAGGAGGAATTTTTTTTTTGGAGACCCAACATCAGCTTGTAGTTCAATTTAATTAATAAAAAAAAATGATAATACGAATCCAGCACTTTTCATGTTTGTGGGGGTATTGCAAATATAATGTGGCAAATTTACATTAACAACTCCGTTGATAAAACCAAATAATATCAATGGCTTAGCTGGTCAGGAATTGGTCAACTGTATTAAACAATGGGTATCATCGACATCAAAAATAGGAAAGTGCCACCCTCTTTCATCATGAAAAGATGAATTAACATCTTATTTTCTTAAAACTTCACATTTCCCTGCCTTCTTTTAAAAATGCAAACTTTCCCTGATTCGAAGTGAAATTCCCTGATTTTCCCCTGAACTTGCAAAAATTCACATTCCCTGACTTTTTCCTGACTTGTAGCAACCATGAAAGAGGTGAGTTAAAGAAACTGCAGATGGATAATTTCTTAGAGACATAAACACTTTTAAGTAGAACACTAGTTATAGCATGAGTGAGAGTTTGAAGATAACTATACGTTGGCTTATCAAGTTAGTGCACTTTGATCAATGTATTGAAATGCATTATATATCGTACACGAAAGGTGATACTATTGTACATGTATTGGAGTTGAGAAAAATAAACTTTGATGACTTCTCAAACACTATAAAATTAGAAAAAGGTAAACGTGACCTTTTAAAGTTTCGCAATTGACCGGATAAGACCGGAAGTTCAAGATTTAGTAACAAATGAATTCTGATCGACATCTCCCCATAGATTGGGGCTTAACTTTCTTTTCTTACGAAATATGGTTTTTTTTTTTACCTTGACATCCAAAATAACTAATTTTTTAAACTTAATAAAGCCATTCTAGGAAATTTTTAGTGCAGTATTGATGATTCGCCTTATCTATTTACGACAGACGTTATCTACACCATGTGATTTATATTTAGCTAGACTCCAAGCCATCATTTGCGCCAATGTTTAACCTCTTAAGAGTACATATTGAACTGCAATATGTGCTAAAAAGAAGTCAAGAAAAACAATTCCTCTTAAAAGTTAGTAGATCGTTTCGCTTTTAATGATACGAAACAAATTATAGTTCTTAAATTTATGATACTTGTCACCTTTTGTCTGATTTTTTCTTCACTTATTTTTCGAAACATCGCCTACAAAATTATATTGACATCTACTTTTTAATAATCCTTTTAATCAAAAAGGAGATTCAAATATAAACAAGGTATTCGACAACTGACCCTGTCTCGTTCCACGATAAGGTGGATGCATGCTTCTTCCAGACAGCTCAGTTACTTCTTTGATGTCAGACCACTTAAACTTTCGAATAATCCTTTGCATGTTACCACTGTTAGGTAAACAGTTATCTATAAGAGAAACCGTTATACAAATTCAATAATGAACATCACCAGAAGCTGGCCATTACCGGTGATCAGAAAATTTCTTCCCAACTGATGTCGCTGGTCCAAAACCATACCTCACAAGAGAGCTCAATTACGACCTTACAAAGACTCTTCTATTACATCAAATATTGAAAATATCGTAACGATCTAAAGCTCTCAGCTGGATGTCGACAAAGTGTCTAACGCCAAAAAGTGTAGTACTAAGGCATAAAATACAACAATACTTTGCCCCATGAATTATACAATTACTAACCAACTCCATCCCTCTTCATTTTGTAGCTTGCCTTAGTTGTAACTCTGAATGGCCTTGACTTCACAACTCCCCTCAAGCCCGACTTAAATTCCATGGCTATTACCAGTTCCCATTTGTTTCGATGAACTACATCTGCCTTTTCCAGCCTATAGACTGAATCACCTTCGTGTGTTTTGTACACCGACCCAAGATCAACTGTGGCAAGGTGGCACTTTGCCTCGCTTTGTGTAACGTGTACTTCTAACTCCACTGGACCTACAGATTCAAACATTTGGTCAATGAGCCAGGCGAGACATGAACCAAATTAACTTAAACTGTCGAACGCAGCATCTCCTTGTATAGGTTTTTACTTTTATAACTCCAGTGGACCTACAGGCTCAGCAATTGCTCAAGACATCAGTACTGGTTGCCTAATCCAGACTAGAACAAAACTTTACCTTCACAGTTACAGTGCCAATCCATTCTCATTTACAGGACAGTGTTTCACGTATTTTGGGATTCACATCTCACCTGTAGTATCGCGTGTCTTGATCGCAGCCTCAGCACACCTTCGAGTGTAGGCCTTAAGACCTGTGATATCATCAGATGCTCGAATCGCCACGGACACTTTTGAGTCCATTAAGGTATATTCTAAATGGCCCTCGTTGGTTTTCTTAGTCTTTTTGTCGTAAACATCTTTCAGATCCATTATCTGAATATCTACCTCTACTTCAAGAGCTTGGCTTCCCATGTGTGTACTGGCCGTCAAGCTGGCTGGCTCGTCTTCAAGAAATGAATCAGAATGAAAATTTTCAAATAACTTTGAGATCTGTCATGGTCCAAGGGTGGGAGAGTGATCATACACGATGACAACTGCGAAGTGTTAGCGATTGACTTCGTTCTTTATCTTGAAAACTCACGCCTGAACAAGGAATTCCGCCTATGGATTTAGTGCTTTGGGTTAGCGTTCAAACTTGGGGGAAAAAATGACTCATAGCAACGTAAATAACGAGGGTAACGATAACACATTTTCCAACTCGCTTAGAGCATGTTCACCATTTGTACTAACATATCATCATCCCTCACTGCATTTACGACAGAAATTAATCAACTTATCTTTACCCTGCAAATGTTCGAGGAGCAAAGCATCAGGTGCACCAAACGTGGAGCTCAGACTATGTACTTCTTCTCCATTAAATGGTTCTGTGACACTCAAAGGAGCGAATCCAAGCTCAGACTGAATGAACTCGTCAATATCGTGCAGTCTTTCGTCCAAGAACGCCTCCATATTGAGGTCACTCATTGTGAGAAATATTAAAGTTTGAGATGTGCTCGACAGTCTGCACTGTATCAAGACCTCAAACACTGTTCCTGTGTCTAAAGGCGGTAAATGTATTTATTCCGAATCGGTTGACTTGCGGTTTTCTTTTGCAATGATCACGACCCACGCGCGTGACAAGAGGTGACAGTAACGGTCGACTGCTTCACTATAGGAAGTGATAAATGTTTGTTCATGATAATTGTCATTCAAACGTTGTAAGAAATTTTAAAAGGTGCATTTACTTCAGTGCTTTTACCATCAACTGATAATTCCACGCTCGCTTAAGCGGATGATTGAGACATAGAGAGAAGGATCGAGACTAAAAAAAAAATGCGTAGTGTGGAGGCTGTAGTACAGATTTCGTAACCACTGGCGGAAGTAAAAATAGATTCGATTATTGGTCACGCGACTTTTTACAACTCGGGATGAAGAAATCTAGAATTCCAAAGTTTACTTTCAAAATGGCGTAGAATTACAATCACTCATTCAAAATTACTCTTAAAATTATAGGAATATATGCATATTTTGTTTTACTAGATTTCATTTATCTCTTATCTTGTATAACTCGTATCTTTTTAGAAAAACGACAAATAAACACTCTAATATGCAAATGACCGGAGAGGACTAAAAGAGTTCAGCCAAACAATAAAAAAATGTAGATCAAATTCAGATAAACACATTAATCACCAAATACAACTATTAAACACTTCACTTATCATTAGGCTGCTGATAGTTTGGTTCGGGTCTTTCATTGGGAAATACACGACAGAGTGCGAGAAATATTGAAAGGCTCGATGGTTTAAAAGAGTTTTTAAACCCATGTATAAATTTAACCATATCCGGAAACTTCAAACTCCTGATTTAATTCCCAATGACAAAACGTAGACTTTTCTACAAGAAAAGATAAGATCGTCGTCTAATCCTTGTGTACCATCTGAATCTACCGAAAATAATTGCATTCTACGTGACTTCCGACCCGACGCTTCATCATTGCAACATACAGTAACAGATTTGCTCAATTTCCGATATTAGTCTTTTGTTTCCGCTCCATAGCAACATAAAGATTGGCAGTAATGAAATCCTCCCGTCATTCTTAGTATCTCGTGCCAACTCTTCCTTAAAAAAAGGAAAGCACTGCTTAAGCGTTTTGGTTCGACTTGCTTGAAAACACCAACGCAAACGAGGAAGAGATAGCAAGAATAGTAGTCTTCCTCTGCCTTCATACCTTCACAGTCGATCAGTTGTTCAATGCTTACGACTGGAAAATTTCATTGCCAAGTGTAGTACCCGCTGCAAAATGTCGTAGAAAATGAGAATGCTACGTGAGGCAAATCTTTACATCTCTGACGACGTAACGAAGAAAGCAAGAGACGACCGAAGGAAGATGAGAGGCATATCAACGAAATTCGATCACGAGAAGAGTCGACTTCGCCTACAATCCTTGGAATGTACCTGCGTATATTCTCTACAGAGTTAAAGATTCGCCAAAATTGAGATCTTTCTTCTTGCCAGATGAGTGAACATGTATCTGTCCTTTATTTTATTTATTTAATTTGTTAGGAAGGGTATCTTGTTTTAGGTGCTTTGATGGAGCGGCATTGTCAAGAGGCTCGCACGGTCACGTAAGTACAACTGCATCTCTATACTTGTTCCAGAGGACGTATGTGAATACATGTGGACAACACATGGTAATGTGTTTAATTATTTAATTACAAATTAAATATTATCATCTCTTTAGAGATAGCAATCATAGACTGGTACAAACACATAACTTGATCAAGAAAATCAAGTGTTTGTTTGGAGGACTGTTGTTCCCTGTTTTTTCCTTGGGATACATGACGTTAAGCATACCACGTTTTGATTCTTCGATTTTTTATTTTGCAATCAGTTTAATTGCAGGCAAAATAAAAATATATTTTACTTCATGTAAATTTGCCAGTCATCCAGTACATTTTCTTTAAAAGATACATGGAGATAAGTCACATAATGTTTGCCCTTAAGGTGAGATAAATCACGTTGTTGGTTACTTTTTCGAATTTATTTTGCTGTTTAGTAAAAGGCAAAATAATGATGTATTTGAGAGTGAACTGTACTAAGTTGTTCACTGTTTTTTACTCTCGGATATCCCTAGAGTGATGTCACCTTACTTTGCTTCTTGAATGAAGGAAATCGCGTTTTTGGCGTGTGCATCGACGAGTTAAGACACTCCTTTCGAACTCCCACTTATATCCACAACACCTTTACCTTCACCAACGATTCAGTTAGCAGCTTAGCACCATGACCATGGTGACCGTTGACCAAAGACGCCATAGCTGATTTGGGTAATACCGCATTTGTTCGATTAAATGCCGCGGCGTTTATTAAATTTTTCGTGATTCGAGAGCGGCGTTTATTCGAGGGTGACATTTATTTAAAATCGAATTTATTTCCGGCAAACAATAGCACGCAAAAAGTAAACATTTAAATTTTAAAAACAGAAGCATGTATTCATGAGAAGTATATTTTTGAGTGAGTGAGTAGCTCTGAATCAAGAATCCATTACAAAATGGTTCTTCTTGGGGGTGCTTTCAAATTTTTAGCAGCTGTTTCTTCGTGAATTCTCGAGGTACAATTGATCTTTTTGGACTGCGATACGTGAGTAATGCTCCAATCAAGCAGCTCAACGAAATATAATTGCTCAAACTAGTAAATTTTTATTTCCCAGAGTCCTCTCATTAATGAATGCGATGCAATGGGCGAGAGAGTTTCCAAGCCCATGGTTGTTGTTCAAGCGACCTAAAAGGACTTTGTGTTGTCTTCGTTTCTAAGGTAATCTACGATTAGGGCGATTCCTCGGGAAAAAAAGGTTATAATACAATTTTTCTAAAACTCTCCGAAAATGTTCCCTACCAATGTCTGTTTCGAAAAGTACAATAAAAAAGATTGGCGAATGTGCTTGTTTTAGAGATGTGATGGGCCAAAATTTCCCATGCAGTTGCAGCTCTATGTGAGAAGGTCCTACGACTTAACTTAGTTTTGGGCTTATTTACATTGATGTTTAAAGATTTTCTAAAGTTATAACTATTAGGACTCTTAACAACTAGGGAATTTATTTCTTCTAAGTCTAGGTTATAAAATGCCTTATGAGTAATAGTTAAAAGACGGAATTTATAAAAATAATAGAGTGGCATCCACTTTACTGTTGTGAGAATATTCTCATCATTCATGTCATTCGGTAGCTTATGTATCAACCTAGCTGCTCTAATATGAATTAGTTACAATTCTTTAAAGTTGGGGCTTGAGCCGTAAACAACTACCCCATAAAGAATGCTTGGAATGACTGTTTCAAAATAAATTGATTCTAAAATAGACTTTAAAAAACTTATACGTCTCAATACTTTAATTTTAGTATTAAATGATAAACAGACTGATTTAATACGTTGAGACCAAGATAGTTTTTCATCAAAGGAAACTCCGAGACAAACAGAGGAAGATTTATATTGGATAACTTTCTCACCCCACATCAAAGGTCTGATGGGACCAATGAAAGAGATTATGCTTAGGATCATTGACTCAGATTTTCCTTCATGGACAATTAATCTATTATTTAAGCACCAGGTTTGCAATTGGTCCATTCCTTCTTGCAAAACCAGACTTATCTCATCAACAGTAATTCCTATAGTATAGATTGTTGTATCATCTGCATAAATGTATATTTCCCCATTATTCAAAAAATCTAGTTGGTCATTTACATAGGTTGCAAAAAGTGTAGGGTCTAATAAAGACCCTTAGGGCACCTCAACTTTCACAGGTCTTAATTCTGAATTGGTGCCATTAACCTGGACCCTTTGTTTTCGGTTGGAGATGCGGTCATTCATCCAATTTCACAAATAACCTGAAACACCAACTGCCTTCAGTTTTGCAGCAAGAATTGTGTGATCCACACAATCAAAAGCTCTGCTGAAGTAAAGGAAAATAACTCCAACCTTGTTACCATTATCCAAAGCCCTTTTCCAACTCTCGGTAAGATCCAAAAGGAGACTTTCAGTTGAATAACCTTTCCTTAAGCCCCATTGCCTGTTATTTAAGACATTATTAGATAGGGTGTGGTCATCTACAGATTTATATATCACCCTCTCAAGCAATTTCCCTGGGACACTTAGCAAAGATATAGGTCTACAATTATTTGGATCTAACTTCTTCCCTCTTTTGAAGACTGCTGTAACTTGTGATTGTTTCCATTACTGAGGGAATTTACAGCTATCCTTGCTCTTCTTAAAAATCTCAATCAAATCTTGAACGATGGGTTCCTGGGCTAGTTTCAGATCTTTAGATTAAATCTTACCTGGGCCTGAAGCTTTATTATGATTAAGGGTTTTAAGGATATCATCTTTGACCAGATCCCAATTAAAAGAAAAGGTATCTGTAGTAGGGGTAACCCTATTGATAAAGGAGTTTGAATCTAAAGAGACTTGGACTCTTACCAAGTCTTTGGTAAGATTACTAGCAATATATACAAAAAACATATTTAAAAAATTTGCTTTTGATTCATTATCGTATTGGACCTATTTCTTCATGTCTACCTTTCTTTAGGATACGGTATGTTATTTTCCAAAAGTCTCTGGATGATTTGGACTTCTCCGTTATCCATTAAATTTATCCAGTAATTAGCCTCAGCTCTCCTCAACATCTTTTTAGCACTGTTCCTTTCCAATTTATAGCGATCCCACAACTCAATATCTCCTCTGTTAGCTTGAGCAGCTTTCAAGTACTTGTAACGTTGGTTCATGGCCTTTCTAATTTCAGTGTCCATCCATGGGAGTGACTTGTCCCTAACCTTAGCTTTTCTACATTTAATATGATTTCCTAGTATATCTTTGAACATATTTTCCCACAAATAAACACTGTCCTCTATGTCCTCAACAGTATTGATAATATGCCATGGGGCTTTATCTAGATCCCCTTTCAACCTATCAACATCTAATGACTTTTGATTCTTGACG